AATTAGGAAGTTTGTATATATTTGTGTTTATATCTTTATTGAATAATATATCTAGGAAAAATATTTGGCTGCCAAAAGATTCCCTTGGACTTGAATTTGAACTTATGACATTGGGATTGAATGTTAATTACTTTGGCTGGGGTAAGTGGTTTGAAACTTGTAACCAATTTGGGTAAATATTAGGGAATTTTTAGAAAAGATTTTTCAGAAAAAGATTGTTGTTGACCAACAAATAGCTGGAATCGGGCATTGATATATTTTGTGAAACAAAGATGATTGGGCATGTTTTGTCACATACAATTTCACGAGAGTAAGACCATAGTTTGTTCCATGAATTGGCTTGATGATATTGAGTGGGAACAAATGTTGTGATCTTTGATTCTGTTAAGTTGCATTAGGGAGTGGCCAAAGTCTTATTTCTATTGATATATAATTTGAGACTAAAGCCAAGTTAACTCAAGGCACGACATGTACATTCTCAACTATGGTACAAAAACAGGGTTAATTGGGTTGGATTCTTTTTCATGTTTGTTGAATTCTTGCATTAAGTTTCAAAAAGTTTTGACTTTGATTTTCTTTTCCTCTCCTTTATTCTATTTTCTCTAGTTAAAATTTTTCTTGTTCTTTCTTGAGGACAAGAAAGGTTCAAGCTTGGGGAGATTTGTTACATGCATTTCATGCATTCATTTTGTAGTTTTAATCCATAAAAGTACATTGCATTTAGGTTTAAACTCATGCATTTTTGCATATTTTCGGGATTTTTCATGATGCAATTCCATTCACACACTTTTGTAATATTTTAGGGACTTTTGGAGGTTGGATCTTGCTTTAGGAGGTTAAAAAAGAGTTGAGGGAAAAATTTCGGGACTTACGGATCATTGAGGAGAGAGATAAGAGGAGGAAAATGAAGATTTTAGCCATTCAGACATTTACACGGCCGTGTAAATGAAAGCCTTGAGTTTACACGGGCCGTGTAAACACATATTCAACAACAATGTACTTCGAAGGCCTGGCAGATTTGATCAGTTTACTTTTAGAGTTTACACGGCCGTGTAAATGGTCAGTGTTAGTTTACACGGGCCGTGTAAACGTGTCGCCAGTTTTTAAACAGTTTTATCATTTGTAAAAAGAAACAGCCAGTTCTTGAAAAAAAAAAAGGTCGTATTTGGAGAAGGGAGAAGGCGATTTTGGGAGATTTTGGAAGTGGATTAACACTTGGAAACACTTTAATTTGCATTTCGTAAGTCAATTTGAAGATTAAACTTGTTAAAATTGTAGTTTAACTAAAACATGTGTGGCTGATTTCTTTATTATTTCCGAATCTGAATTCTTAAGTATTTGTTGTTAGGTTGTAATTTGCACTTGACTTTATGTTTATTATCTAGTAATCTTTGATTTGGACTTAATTACATGTTTGATTGGTTCTCTTTTCACTTGATCAATGAATTAGGGTTCTTATCAATCTAGTTAATCAAATTGTGAAATTCGTATATGTTTTATGATTTGATGTTAGTAACATGCACTTGATTGGTTGTAATTAGATCAAAATTAGTGTAATCAAAGATTAAATGTTCATATCCCAAGCTTATGAGGAATGTTGAACATTGTTGATAATTGTTACAAGAACTTAATGTCATTTAATGATTTGATCCAAGAGCTTGTTTGAATTGAATAAATTAAATGAAGTTTAATTTGAAGAACATGTTTTGAATAAAACATTTTTGTCAACTTGGGTATTAGAGCTTGTTAATATCTAAATTACCAACCTAGATTGAACATGAATCATAGTCATATTACATCCTACAACATAATACATGTATAGGAATTAGAATCGGAAATGTACTTCTTTTACTGCGTTTTGTTATCAATCTTGCTTCTTTATGAAGTTTAATTCGAGTTCAAACACAATCCCCCATTTTAATTTTTGTTTGTATGATGTGTGAGAATATGGCTAAATAAGAAGTCTCGTATTCCTGTGGACCGACCCTGCTTACTCTATACTATCTCTAGTGTATGAAGTAGCAGTGAATTAAGTTTTCTTATTATTATTTTATCCCATTATTTGTTGGTTTGACAACCAAACAGTGTGTTAATTGGATGGTGTTGTAAATTGTAACAAAATGGAATAACGGAAAAGAAAATCCGTCACCACCACCGTAGGGTGGTGGTTGCCGCCTCTTGCCGCCACCGGCCGCCGTGTCGGGTGGCGGTGTGCCTTGATTGCGTTTGGACCTCGTTTGGATGTTTGGACAAGGGGATACTAAACCCTAATGGGCCAAAAGAACCCTAGTGGGCCCAAAGAGACCCCAATAGGCCTAATAAAACCCTAATGGGCCCAATAAGGCCCAAAGTGACCTAGAAGCTCAACCAATTGTCTAATGGGCTAGTATTGGGTTGGAAAACCCTAATTAGGGTTTGGAAAACCCTAAGAGCATAAAACCCTAAATGTGGGAATTGTTTGGGACACACAAGAATTAATTATTAAACCTAAAATAATAATTAATAATCTTTGGCAAACTAATGTAAGACAATAATGGACTTAATGGATTAAGTCATTAAGGGGTTAAGTAAGAAACACTTAACCCTAATCATCATTTCATGTGAAAGCCCTAACCTCACTCGGGCCTTGAATTGGGCCTTCCTATTGGGCTTTGGCGATTGGACTATTAATGGATTGTCCAAGAACAAGTTAATGGACCAAAACAAGTAGATGGGCTTTAGGATAAGGCCCATGTGAGGACTTGGGCCCAATTTGGAAAATTAGGCCATATGTTGGACTTTGGACCATTATTTTACTTTTGGGCTTTGGTAGTGTGAGTTGGACATTGGGCTTGGAACCCAATTATTAATTGGGTATTGTTTGATGTTGACAGTTCGGGAATCTGTCAACCAGCAGCGGGAGCTTTACCTGCGGGACTTCAGCAGTGTCAGGTGAGTTATCCTCACTATACTAAGGGGTCTAAGGCACCAAGGCCGGCCCATTTGATATGATATCCTAGTAGTTGTATTATGTTGAGTATGAGTTGGTTATGCATGCTAATTTGATATGCTAGAGGGTAGGTCTGTAGGACTACCTGTGATACTGATTGATTACCTGTATGTGCATTTATCTGTTACATGTCGACATGTTATGTGGGATGGGTTGAGGTTGTACTGATCCGTGCGGTAGCCAACAAACCCCATAGTATTCCAGATACGAGCTGAGGGTCCGGTAGGCATTCTAGACTCATACTGAGGACTCGGGAGCATTCCAGATACGAGCTGAGGGCCCGGTAGGCATTCCAGACTCGTACTGAGGGCTCGGTAGCATTCTAGATACGAGCTGAGGGCCTGGTAGGCATTCCAGACTCGTACTGAGGGCTCGGTGGCAATCCAGATGTGAGCTGAGGGCCCGGTAGACATTCTAGACTCACACTGTGGGCCCAGGGGTATTCCAGTCTGTAAAGTTGTGGACCCGTTACATGCTGTTCTATTCAGTTTGTTATGTTATGATGTTGCTGACATGGTTATGTGGACTATATGTGTATCGGTATTTTGGGGGTAACTCACTAAGCTTTCGGGCTTACAGTTTCAGTTTTTTATTTCAGGTGCATCAGTGGATCGTGGCAAGGCAAATGCGTGATTGTACAGCTCCTCACTTTTTGTGACTATGTTTCTGGGATACTCCGATATTAAACTAATTTGAAAACATTTTGTAATGACTAATGAGTTTTGAACTGTTTAAAAAGTTTTAAATTGGCTTGAATTTTTCGGGTGTTACAAGTCATGATTCTTGATACTTGTTGGACTTTATGGAGATTTTGTAATTATATGGTGTTTGAGGAGAAGCCGAGGCGAAAAGATGATATTCTGAATACTATCAAACTTTTTTCTTTTACTTGATTAAAGTCTAGAAGCTCTAATGTTGTTTTAAATTTTAACATCACTTTTTTCCATAGTGTCTAGTAAATCGCTAACACGTGGGTAATTTTCTAATTTGGCTGTTAAAAAAAAGGATTTAGGCGTGAAGCATCGAGTCTCCTTGTCTTGTGTTTCAATCTTTTGTTTGGGAATCTGAAACTAAAGTTGCCATCTTTTCTCCGATTTGTCGTCTTCTTCGTTCAAGTTGCGCTGCTTGCCCTTATATAGATCGTTGTTAGACTGGACCAAAGACAAGTGCTAGTTGGATTAAAATTTGGGCTCAAAACGATATACCAACGTATCTATAATATCTTATTCAAACTATGCCCAATGTAAAATTGATGTCTTGGGCTAAGATATATGGTTATTGTAGCACAATTTGTAGTTTGTTTTCTTTCTATTTCAATGTAAATACTGTTGGTGATTTTATATCATCAATATTATTTAAGTGTAATAGGATTAAATTTGTTGACCAAAAGTGATCTTGTTGAATATTGAACAAGTTAAGATGGTGTAGGAGTGCACACTTGTTCAAGTGTTTCAAGATTCAAAGTACATTGTTATTTAGGGGCGAAGCCCCTAAACGAACGGGGGTCCGTGGGTAGCGCCCCTGGCGGGGTCCAAGGGGCAGAGCCCCTGGCTGGGATCGAGCTGCAATTTTAGAAAGTTGACCCTTTTTTCCCTGAGATCCGTTTAATGACAAGTTTGGTAGTTTTATGACAGTTTGTAACTGTCTATTGACAGTTTTCAGACAGGAATGATATATCCGTTTTTGGTCATTTTTCTGGTACATCTTGAAGAACATTTTCACATACATTCTCAGATTTCACTCTCTAAATTTCATCCAATTGAGTGTTCGATCTGTACCATCGAAATACTTCAATTTGATAGTGAATCACGACTTTTAGAGAATCCAAGCAATCTATTAATCCCCGATTTTCTAACAAATACCATTTTTTTAACACAAAATTGGATTGGCTTGAGCCAAAATAAATAATAAGTCATGTGAACTTAATTAATCAATAATCATTTACAATCCTTGAGAAAGATAATAATTAGAAAAATAAAAACTTGTACAAAAAAATGTTATATTGGAAGAGATGGAAATCGCTTTTGGTAGCGCCAGTCGGCAGATGTTGTACTCGTGGGCGTCGTTACATTTACACAGGCAGTTCTTTCTCATGGCTCCCAAATCTCACCGCATCCGTCAACGTAATTCCTTAAACCCTAACTTTTCACCTGCAAAAAACCCTAATTTCTGTTTTAGGTGGAGTTCTCCTTTGATAATTCGAATTTCGAAAACAATACTTACACTCGCTTACATTTATGTTAACATTTTCAATGCAGTTGCAGATTCAACAATGCAGGGCGCTGTTAAAAAACCTAGATCAATCGCAACGGAATCAGCCCCAACATCGTCATCCATGAAAGACTCTTTCTCAAGATACGCTGAATACCTCAATCAATTCGTTAGTATTCTCGATTTCTTTATTCCCAACACTCGCACATTTCTCACTTCTTATGTAAACCTCTATCAATTATCATGAATGATGAATCTACTTCTGATGATTTTACCTTTACATATGCACCAAAATGATTTATTTCCGAGTAATTTGCAAAACCTAATGGCATCCCGATTCCAACTAAACCATTTTAGTACGTTTGTGATAGCAAATTCGTTATGATTGCCATATCGAGATTTTCCCCAAATGAATTCGCGATAATTACTTATTGCAGAATGACAAGAGGGAAAGGGTGGTGAAAGCAAGTCGCGACATCACCATTAACAGCAAAAAGGTGATCTTTCAAGTGCACAGGTGAATTTCCATCCATGGTTTCTTCAAACCTTAACCATTCTTAGTTTCTATAAACCTTGATTCATGTAATTTTAAGTTATTTAACTCATTCTATTCCATCTCATCAACAGAATCAGCAAAAACAACAAAGATGAGGTGTTACAGAAAGCCGAAAAAGATCTTTCAGCTGTGAAAGATCAGTATATAGCTCGATTAGTAAACGAATTACAAGGAGCTGATTTCTGGAAACTAAGACGCGCATATTCTCCTGGGGTTACCTCTTTATCCACATTTCACAAAATTCCCGTAAATAAAGTTACAAAATTACTTATTTTAAATAACAAAGCCTCCACCTTTTCAGGTTCAAGAATATGTCGAAGCTGCAACATTATGTAAATTTTGCACTAGTGGCACTCTATTGAATCTTGAAGAAATTAACTCCTTGTTGTTACCACTAAGTGACCCTTCTCTTGAACCCTTGCAAATCAACATCCTTGACTATATCTTGGGGGTAAGTTAAAATTACCCTTTTGCCCCTCTCAGTGAGATTGATATCTTTATGGGAGTTTCAACTCCAATGTGGATCATTGGCCTGACAAACACTGTGTTCAGTGATCTGGTGGGCCACTGTGTACCTGATTTATATCTGACATGATTGTTTTTTTTGGTTTAGCTGGCTGATTTGACTGGGGAATTGATGAGGTTAGCAATTGGGAGAATATCAGATGGGGAAATTGAATATGCTGAAAAGATATGTAGATTTGTGCGTGAAATCTATAGAGAACTTACGCTTTTGGCTCCAAAAATGGATGAGAGTTGGGACATGAAAAGTAAGATGGATGTGATGCTTCAGAGTGTAATGAAAATAGAAAATGGTATGTTTTTTTTTTTTTTTTTTTTTTTTTTTTTAATATAAAAACTTTGTAATGTGTGTGTTTATATAGTGTGTGAATTTTTGTATTGTTTTTTATTTTTGCAGCTTGTTTTAGTGTTCATGTGAGAGGGTCGGAGTATACATCTCTAAGCGGAATGGAAGAAGATACGAGTTATGCCTTATTGGGAGTGTCTGAATTTGATTAATTAAGTAGTTTTTAATTTTTTATGTTGTGTTTTGTGTTTATGAATATTACAATGTTTTACCTCATGTTTTGTGAAACTTGCTTTTGGACAATTGGTATAAGTATCTATATCTTGTCTCTTGTTTTCGTTATCCTTTTGTTAAAAAAATATGTATAATGTTGTAGGTATTAATATTATATAAACAAATAACTAATTGAAAGATCATATATATTGGTGAAAAGCAAATCAATTTGTTTTATTTAATATTAGACAAGATCAATAGAAAACTAGACTTCGGGAGGGAACTATAGATTTTTCTTCCCACAGATTTTTTGTGAATCGTTAAAAAATAAAAATAAGGTGCATATGCTCAAAGTTTACAATTTTTTCTTTTTACTTTTTAAATTTATAAATATATTCTGTGTCTTACGTGATGTGGGGGTAAATGGACTACAAGTTGAACCATAATTATTTTTTTGTATAGTGAAACTAATTTTTTTTTTTTAAAACCACATACATAAATCTAAGGGTCATAACATTACTATGCATGATCCGTTGGACTCTATCGAGGGCTCGATAACATTTGGCGCAAAGAATCAAAAAGTATCAAACACGAAAGGTATAAACATGTGTTGATTTTTCATGTATGTTTTCACATTTTTGTCACTTTACATGAGACAACTTTTAGAACAACGTGCCCTACAGTAAAAATCTAACTCCCCAAACCCACGGGAGGGGAAACCCCTCATAGATCCACACATGTGTGTTTCCTTTTTACCCATCCAAAAACCAAAATATCGTTCGATATAAGTGTTGATCTCCTTTCCAATAAGTCAATCAAGAAATTCATAGATGCCTCTTTTTTGGCTGAAACCCCAACGTGCCGAAAAATGTCAAAAAACGTCCCTAATCAGATCATGTTGGTACTTAAAACTCGGGAGCTATCTACAATATATTGTATGCTCCCCCAAAAAGTTCAAGCATACTTTGCAACAAACATGGTATATCTTGTCAATCGAATATTAATGGGATTATAAGACGATAATTGAGGATATCACGATACTCCACTTGTGACATATATTGGTCAAGACCATCAATAGGAATGACCATAAGAAAAATCTTAAACATGTGGTGCCCGAAAACACTCAAAAACTGTTTTATGTCTAACAGTTATGTCTAACAGTTATGTCGAAGTGTACTTCTATGTCTGAACAATTTCACTAAAAATGACACTCGCTAATGCATGTTGGGCTTTAGGAGAGGCCGTGTCATTAGTGAAACCGTTGAAGTCAAAGCCCGTAGACAAATCAAAACACAAACATAATCCGAATCCATATGTGATTAAATGTCATTTGGAAAATAAATATACAAATAAACTCATTTTTGCACATATATACAAATTGTTATATGTATGCGTGTATAATACGTACATATGCATTTTTTTGAGTTTTTTTTACGATTCACTAAAATGATAAATATACTACGCATGTGTTTGATTTTGTTAAAGAAAATAATAAGGAAAAAACCTCTTTAGTTTATTTTCGAAATTTAGTTCCTTCTTGATTAGCTCTATTTAATATATGATAAAAAAATATAATTAAAATAATTAGTGGTCCCAGGTATAGTCATTTTATAGGTTCACACAAAGGTCGGCAAAGTGATCAGTTCACTTATTTGGGTCCCAAAACAGTTAAAATTATTAGTGCGCCCAGCTACAGTCTTTTATGGTCTTTAAAGGCCCAACAAGTTATATTGGTTACCCATTATTGAAACCCATCCAATTGTTAACCCAAAATGTTTAATAAAGCCCGGTCATAAATATGAGTCTTATAGTAAAATTTGTTGACTATTTTTTTTTTCCTTTTTGAATTTCGTGTTAATAAACTTCATAAATAAAATAAAAAATTGGCTAAAAATTAATGTCGTATACTGGTTACGACACTTAACTCAAGTTTGTCAAAATGCAGAAAATATGATGCATGTATGTCTTTAGAAAAACGGTTTTTCTAATATCGTTTTCATCCAAACCATAAACGGTTCAATAAGATTGATTATATTAACCCAAAAACCGGTTATAATCCGAAACATTTTCTTTTTACCATTTTATCCTTATTTATAAGAAGTTTTGTTTATTTTTCAATCTCAATGAACATTGATTTCTTTTGAAGTGATACGTGGAAGAAGAAGGGATTGAGGGCAAATGTGGTTGTGAAGCATGCACATAGATGGTTGTACATTATGGTACAAAGATTTAAAGATGAACATTTACATTATTTGTTAGTAATTAATAAGCCTTGTTGTCAATATCGCAAGGGCTATTGTTTAAAAGCTTTAAGTACAAACAATTAGCAACGTGCGACTCATATCTTTTTTTTCTTTATTCTTACTTTTTTTTTTCTTTATTATTACTTTTTTTTTTCTAAACCCGAAAGGGAAGTGTAATGTCTTTCAGTTATATTACATTATACATTATCAAATTCAAATGAGGTCATGTTTATAAAATATATACTACTTGTTTATTTATACACTTAATTACGCATAATAGAAGTATAGCGTTTTGAAAGATAAAAGAGTTTGAGACTTTGAGACGGGGAAATTATTAAAATATTTATTTGTTTTTAAAGACATTAAAGAGTCGTATACTATTACAAAAGTTTAAAGACATTAAAGACGGGGAAATTAACTAAAACGGTCCATACACTTAAAAGATACATGTATATCCAATTAAAGAGTAAAGAGATTATGTTGGTATTCAATAATGCCTTCACAACACTTGAACCTTCCTAAACCTTGTATTGTACATGTATGGTATTTCATGTTTTACCAAGGTTAAAGAGTATTTTTGAGCTTTTATTTAATATGTAGGATCTGTGTCAACAAGGTCGGGTCAAACATTTTTTGGCCTTGAAGCCGAATATGAAAAAGACCTCTTCAAATCACCAAAATTACTATATCAGAGATAATTTTTTTTAAGATTCGTGTTAATAAATAAACTATATACCCTGAATAAAAGTAAAGTATACTATTACAAAAGTTTATAATTATATGGAAAATAATTTCATATATAAATAATTTCAAATGAATTTAAATTAAAAAAAAAAGTAGAAAAAAAGTCAAAATATAGTTTCTCATAATATTCCCATAAATTCAAGCATCTTAACTTCAAGGTTGTTAAGATCGGGATCTTATATATGCTCGTTTTCCGCTTTGCAAGATCGTGATTGTAAGATTGAATCGGATCGTAAGATCCTACCAAAAGCATTTAAAACATAAAAATACATATTCATCCATCAGTTAACCATCCCGTTAACAATAAATACTTTAAAACATAAAAAATACATTTCTAATACATTATTTAACGATAAACAAAACAAAAGAGGTATTCTATGTAATTAATCCAAAAAATATCTGATTTTTTTAAGAAAATATATTAACGATCCTACTATCTTACGATCGTTCCTACGATCTTACGATTCGATCCTACATCCTACTGTGATCTTACCGAAAAATGATCTGAGTAAGATCGAGATTGATTTACCTAGTTGAGATCATAAGATCGTATGATCAAAATCGCGATTCTAACAATCATGATTTTAACCACCTCCAAGGTGTTATTATTTCTTTCTATAATGGTCCATACACTTAAAAGATACATGTATCTTTATGTTGAATACCAACATAAAGATACCAACATAATCTCTTTACCAACATAAAGATACCAACACTTAAAAGATACATTTTAACCACCTCCAAGGTGTTATTATTTCTTTATGTTGAATACCAACATAATCTCTTTACTCTTTAATTGGATATACATGTATCTTTTAAGTGTATGGACCATTTTAGTTAATTTCCCCGTCTTTAATGTCTTCACAACACTTGAACCTTTCTAAACCTTGTATTGTACATGTATGGTATTTCATGTTTTACCAAGGTTAAAGAGTATTTTTGAGCTTTTATTTAATATGTAGGATCTGTGTCAACAAGGTCGGGTCAAACATTTTTTGGCCTTGAAGCCGAATATGAAAAAGACCTCTTCAAATCACCAAAATTACTATATCAGAGATAATTTTTTTTAAGATTCGTGTTAATAAATAAACTATATACCCTGAATAAAAGTCAAGTATACTATTACAAAAGTTTATAATTATATGGAAAATAATTTCATATATAAATAATTTCAAATGAATTTAAATTAAAAAAAAAAAGTAGAAAAAAAGTCAAAATATAGTTTCTCATAATATTCCCATAAATTCAAGCATCTTAACTTCAAGGTTGTTAAGATCGGGATCTTATATATGCTCGTTTTCCGCTTTGCAAAATCGTGATTGTAAGATTGAATCGGATCGTAAGATCCTACCAAAAGCATTTAAAACATAAAAATACATATTCATCCATCAGTTAACCATCCCGTTAACAATAAATACTTTAAAACATAAAAAATACATTTCTAATACATTATTTAACGATAAACAAAACAAAAGAGGTATTCTATGTAATTAATCCAAAAAATATCTGATTTTTTTAAGAAAATATATTAACGATCCTACTATCTTACGATCGTTCCTACGATCTTACGATTCGATCCTACATCCTACTGTGATCTTACCGAAAAATGATCTGAGTAAGATCGAGATTGATTTACCTAGTTGAGATCATAAGATCGTATGATCAAAATCGCGATTCTAACAATCATGATTTTAACCACCTCCAAGGTGTTATTATTTCTTTCTAATATCTTTGTAATATGAATTAAAAAGGAAAATAACAGAGCGCGTATAAGTATGAGTGATAAGTTTCGACCCAATCCATAACCCGACATGAAAATAAACGGGTTTAGGTTGAGATTTCTGTCCTGCCAACCCATTTATTGCATGGCTTGGGTTGGGTTACTTGTTTGAGTTTGCGGGTCAACCTGTCAACCCAATTATATATATTATATTTAAAAGAATATATTTATAAATTAATATAATATAGTGAATATACGGTGTTCGAAGCCTCTTTTTTTTCAAAGGTGTTGCTTATTAACTTATAATGTTAGATTTGTATTTGGTTGTTCGTTTCTTCTAGTCAGTTTAAAATGATAATTATTAATTAATTTAGAGACGTGTACAATTTGT